CTGGTGAAAATTTCATGTCATTAGCACCTCTAGTAATATATTTACTGAGAAAAATGTTGATGTGTTCAATACTTATTTTACCCGCTGTATATTTAGAGGCTGCTGTAGCTCCGTGGTCAGTGCTGCCGTCTTGTAAACCTCAGGCTGCAGGTTTGAGTCCAGGCTGCTTCAGGAAGGGCATATGAGCTAACACAAAGACTAATATTTTGTGCAAGTCCCCCACAGAAGAGAGCAGCTGAAGAAAAAACAAAAACATTTCTGTTGATTAAGAAAAACTGTATTTTTCCATTTGTTTAGACACAATTAGACTTTAATTTGTTCAAGGACAAGACTTTTCTGATGCTTACTTCAAATATTTAGTTAAAACCTTTTGGATTTGCCAAAAATAAAATAAAAAGCTCAAAATAAATCCAAAAATATTATGACCTAAAATCTATATTAATTTCTCATAACAAGGACACAAACAGCATTTGTGCACCACGTTGTTTAACTCCAACAAACCTTTTTCTTCTGTGGGATTAAGTCACCAAGTCTGATGCGTGTTCACTAGGATTGCATAAGTTTCAACATTCCTCTTAAACTTAAAGCTTAATCCTTTCTGCAGTAGAGCAGAGTGAAAACAAACACTTATTAGTCTGGTTAGCAGAAGTTCTCAGAGCTCTGACTTCTGTAGAGTGCTCGTTTAAGAAAGTTGTGCAGGTTTAAACCAGGGGAGAATAGAACTGAGCATCTCTAAAAAATTAACTGTCATTTTGCTCCTATCAGGCCTCYTCTTTTAGATAAATATGGCTCCTGATGATAGCAGTGGGTTTATATAGAGGAAACTTTCAAAAAGCAATCATTAAATGGGCATTTAAAAATGATTAACCTTTGGAGTTCCTGTTCCAAGCGGCCACTACAGACAAGTGGTCGTCGAAAACACAAAAATGGCTTGTTTGTTTGACAAATATTTAGCTAAAATGTGGCGTGGTAGAAGCGGAGAGTCAGGCACTTCAGCAGATCCTGACCTGTGCAACATGTCAGCTACACAAACTGCCCTCCTCACAAGCTGTGAGTCTCTTTGTTTCGCAGACTGACAGGGGAACCGAGTTCAGACGTTCTCACCACATGGTGATGAAAACCACACTTTACGACATGGCTGTAGACGCCACCTGCAGGTACGCAGCTGTTGGCTGTCAGGACCGCTGCATCAGGTGAGTGTGTGGGGCTTTTAGCTGTGGTTTTGTCTCCAGCTCACATGTTTGGCGGTTTGAAAGTGTCTCTGAGGCCCGTTTTCCTTCTGAATGCAGGGTTTTTAACATCAGCAATGGCAAACAGAAGAAGCTCTACAAAGGATCTCTAAGTGAAGATGGCAGTCTGCTCAGGGTAATGCTTCCTTTTTCTCTCCAGAGACCCGGTTCTGTCTGTCTCTGTCTTTATATACATACAGTATATAAATTAAAGAAATTATTCTTTTTTTCCCCCCCAAAGGTTCAGATTGATCCTTCGGGTCAGTTTGTAGCCACCAGCTGCTCCAATAAGAACATCTGCATATTTGACTTCTACACTGGGGAGTGTGTCGCCACCATGTTTGGACATTCTGGTACCAGAACCAACACTTACATCTTTATATCTCTCAGCCAAACTGAGCAATAAATAATTCCACTTATATTTAGAGTTTCTGAAATATTCACCCTGGCGACACTATAGGAACTTAGATGTTTTTGGTTTTGCAGAAATTGTCACTGGGATGAAGTTTACCAATGACTGCAGGCATTTAATCTCTACATCAGGAGACAGGTGAGAGTCTCTGCTTTGTGTGTGTATGTGTTCTTGTCTCTGCTACAGAGTGAGGACCATCATGGTTTTAACCAACGGAGTGACGTCATTTATGGGTAGTGAGGACATTTTCCTGGTCCTCACTTTTTTTGCAGTTCTGCTGCGCTCTACTAGTTAGGTTTAGAGGTACGATGTTAATTACATTTTGGTTCAGGTTAGAGTCAGGAATAGACTAGTAATTGTTAGTTTTAGGCAAAATGTCTGGGTTCGGCATTAATGCAGTTACAAAAATGAATGGAAGRCAATACAAAGTCCTCAGTTTGATGGAAGTGCAAGGATGTGTGTGTGGACACGTTTTTGCTACATCATGAGGATCATTTTACAGAAAAACACAGCCTTTTGGGGACCTCATACTCCTTGTGGAGACCAAGGCCTGGTCCTCATATAGATACTGATTTTGGGTGTGGGGTTATGTTTAGGACCAAAGTGTGAATTGAGTTTAAGCGAGGTTTAGGGTCAGGTATGTGGGCAGTTAGTTTTAGAGGAAATTGTCAGGGTTAGGCTATAGAAATGACTGGAAAATGAATGGAAGTCAAGGCAAAGTCCCCACGGGGATAGAAAAACAAATGTGTGTGTGCAAAATCAACATCCAAACTCCTTTTTTTGCGCACTGTCGCTCTGTTTAACTGCTTTATTTTCACTCACTGTTGCCACCAACTGTAGGCACAACCATGGGACCAAGCATTATTAGAGAAACAGAATTTGATTAAACTTAAAAATCTCTAGTAGATATGACACTGATTCCTTGATTCCTTTTGTTTTTTACCTGTTTTTTATTGTCACCTAGAAAGAGATGTTATAGCGCCCTCAGCACCCACAGTTCTCACAGGCTTAGCTTCAATWATGCAACCCTGGATTGAAATTTATTTTAAACATTCTTATATGAAATATAGGAATGCCATTATATCAAGGTCTTATATACRGTGTCTGTCAAACTCCATAGATTGCAAATGACAGAAAAAAACTTAATTTTCTTTTCAAAACATTTATTATTTCTTACCCTTATTTAACTGCTTATATCATTATGTATAATGATCCATATTTAATGTACAGTGCAAACATTTTGTGTGCCACCTCAGTGTCATCATTTCAGTGTAAATATTGTATTTAACACAATGTATTCTGCTTTTAATTAGGCTTTTTTAATATATTTTTAAAGGACAAAATGTCAAAAACATTAGTCAAAAGAAGTAAAAAATTATTTTTCTTCTATGGTGATGGTGTCCTTAAATAAAAATAAAAAAGTTGTAAGAAAAACTTGTGACAGGATGTCAACTACCAGGTGTTTAACTATATGTTAACAATGGCAAAATCTATATAGAGCTGTTCAGGGAGGAGTCTGATAATTGTATACATAAATATGCTTTGTTTACACTGAGTGCAGACCTGCATTTCAAAATGGCATGTTAATATTTTTAGAAATCTACTGGAGTGAACTCTTTCAATCTGCACCTTTTTATTGAGCTCAGGACATCATTTCAAATCCTCCTCCATGAATATCTCTAACTTACACGGATCTGTTAGATGTTTCAGGATTTTTTACATTTATTTAGGTGGATTGACCCATTAATGCTGCTCAGGACTCATTTGTTTTCATAATGCCTAAGTAATACGGCCGCGCTCAGTCTGAACTACTTAAAAATTTAGAGCAGTCAGATCCTGTTACACACATCCTTAGTGCTTCCTGCTAATTTCAGCATTCAGCAGGGCCTCTGATAAGAAGGATCCTGCGTTACGTTTTAGAACTACAGACTGGATTTCTACAGATACAGTAATGTGATGCATTTTACTAGCTTTAGAGAGAAAAATAACAAACTTGGACTGGAGTGTTACACATCAAAACTTAGTCTTAGAGGATTAGAGGAAATGACTGRGAAAAATGTGTTTGCAGATGTTTTTTCTCCTCAGTCATCACTCTGAGATAAAACTTTAAATATTTAATGCTCGCATGCGTTTGTTTCCCAGCTGTGTGTTCGTGTGGCGACTCGCTCCAGAGCTGACTATCGCCATGAGGGAGAGGCTGCAGCAGCTCCGACAGAACCCCAACTCGGTGCCTCGCGAGTCCCCCGGCATCAGGTGACGACGCCCAGCCGCCTGTTGTTCACAACCCGTCCTGAAAACACAGAGTCCAGTTGGACGATTCCCATCACATGTTATAAATACGCCGCTGCACATTCAGAGCTCGTGATTTTGACTCTTTCTGCTTTGCTGCAGGCGGGAGGCGTACAGCGCCCCGGCTCTGGTTGATCTGTGCTCTGACAGCGACCAGGAGCATGAGGAGGAGGAGGACAGAGTGAAGTATGTCCTCGCTGACAACATAAGCAATACTTCCTCTGGCAGCAGCCACAGGGGCGAGGACACAGGTGCTGTCTTCATATTAACACACAGCAGCAGTGAAGGGACACTTTAAGGAAACTGTTGAGATGTGTGCCTGATCTGCTTCACTGTTCCTGGTTTCATTTTCTGTGTCAAGTTCAGCCAAACCTGAAAAAAAAAAAAAAACACACAAAAAGAAAATCCGACCTGTCATGTTTGTCAAGGTTTCAGTTGCTGTAATTTTTCCTCCAACATCAGGTTCAGAAGAAGAAAAGACCACAGAGTTGAGAAAGGTAAGAAAAGCTAAATTAACACTGAACAGAATAAATTTTGTGTGAAAATGAGTGCAGAGGGTTGTAAATGAAATTTACTGAATAGCTCAAACTGAGCTGTTAGAAGCAAAAGAAGCAGAACACAGCTGAGAAAGTAGCAAAATGTTCACTACTAGCAGCAAAAGGCTAGCAAAAATGTAAGTCAAGCAGTGATAGGCTAACTGAAAGTAGGAAAAGGCCATCCACAGCTATACAAAAATGTAGCTGAAAGTAGCAAAAGACTAGCTTAAAAACTAAAGTAATAAAAGGGTAGCTATGAACATCAAAAGCTTAGCTAGACACCTAAAGTAGCGAACTTAAAAAGGCTTACTAAAAGCTGAAAGTAGCAAAATATTGAACAGAAGTTTAAAGTAGCCAAAAACATGCAAAAAGTTGCAAAAGGCTAGCTAGAAGCTAAAAGTAGAGAAAAGATTGCTAAAATCTAAAAACAGCATAGAAGGATTTTTGGGGAACAGTTTCAGTTCATGACCTGACGTTTTTTCTTTGTTTGTTAAAACACTTACAGGGGTTGGACAATGAAACTGAAACACCTGGTTTTAGACCACAATAATTTATTAGTATGGTGTAGGGCCTCCTTTTGCAGCCAATACAGCATCAGTTTGTCTTGGGAATGACATATACAAGTCCTGCACAGTGGTCAGAGGGCTTTCAACCCATTCTTCTTGCAGGATAGTGGCCAGGTCACTACATGATGCTGGAGAAGGAAAACGTTTCCTGACTCGCTCCTCCTAAACACCCCAAAGTGTCTCAATAATATTTAGATCTGGTGACTGTGCAGGCCATGGGAGATGTTCAACTTTACTTCCATGTTCATCAAACCAATCGTTCACCAGTCTTACTGTGTGTATTGGTGCATTGTCATCCTGATACACGACACCACCTTCATGATCCAATGTTTGAACCATTGGATGGCCCTCCAGAATGGTTCGGTAGTCCTTGGCAGTGACGTGCCCATCTAGCACAAGTATTGGGCCGAGGGAATGCCATGATATGGCAGGCCAAACCATCACTGATCCACCCCCATGCTTCACTCTGGGCATGCAACAGTCTGGGTGGTACGCTTCTTTGGGGCTTCTCCACACCGTAACTCTCCTGGATGTGGGGAAATAGTAAAGGTGGACTCATCTGAGAACAATACATGTTTCACATTGTCCACAGCCCAAGATTTGCACTCCTTGCACCATTGGAACCAACGTTTGGCATTGGCACCAGTGACCAAAGGATCGGCTATAGCAGCCCGGCCGTGTATATTGACCCTGTGGAGCTCCTGACGGACAGTTCTGTTGGAAACAGGAGAGTAGAGGTGCACATTTAATTCTGCCGTGGTTTTATACTTTTTGGATAAAGTCCGGGTTAGCACCCCAACATCCCTTTCAGACAGCTTCCTCTTGGGTCCACAGTTGATCCTGTTGGATGTGGTTCATCCTTCTTGGTGGTATGCTGACATTACCCTGGATACTGTGGCTCTTGATCCATCACAAAGACTTGCTGTCTTGGTCACAGATGCACCAGCAAGACGTGCACCAACAACATGTCCTCTTTTGAACTCTGGTATGTCACCCATAACGTTGTGTGCATTGCAATATTTTGAGCCAAACTGTGCTCTTACCCTGCTAATTGAWCCTTCACACTCTGCTCTTACTGGTGCAATGTGCAGTTAATGAAGATTGACCACCAGACTGGTCCAATTTAGCCATGAAACCTCCCACACTAAAATGACAGCTGTTTCAGTTTCATTGTCCAACCCGTTAGTCTGACTTTTAAATCTTCAGATTTAAATGGTTTCCAACTCAAGGGATAAGTGTTGTGTTATCACAGAAAAGCTGTTTTTAAATTCACTGTTCAGACACTTTATCAGCAGATACTTTGACTTTTTTACTCGTTATTTTTGCTGTGGTGCTTTTCTTCAAGGCCATTGATACAGTATATACAGATCAAACTGATAGCTCACATTTGATCCGTTTAATGAACTTTAGCACAAGATACAGGCTGTTATTAGTGTGGTGGGGGACCATATTTTTAAAATAAATTAATATTATAAATCTAAAAGCTGACACAAATATATTATCAAACAATTTAATGGCACATTTGGCCTAACCATGAAATAAGAAATATGAAACATGTAAAATACATACAAAACATACTGAGTTTTTAAAATTTATTTATTAGAATTTTTGGAGGAAAAAGCCAATATATTGCCTTGTTTACAGTATTGCGATATGTCACCATATATCGTATCGTGTCCCCTGTGTCATGTCAATACACAGCCTTAATGTCCACTTTAAGACCACTTCAAAGAGTGCAAGAAGATCTGGAAGCTTGAAAGCAAAACATAAAGAATTGATGAGTGGTTTAAAACTTTTGCACGGTAAAGTATACTGCTCTCTGGTTTATCTTCTGTATTCAGCATGAAGCCATTACCCAGGTCGGTCCTGATGCCACCAAGCGCCCCCGGAGGTGCTGGTCTCGACGTATGGGCTCCCTGGAAGTGATGATAAGATCCATGCTGGACCTGAGACAGCTGGAGACATTTGGACACAAGAGGAACCTCAGTCCATCTACTGATGACAAACAGAGCGTGTCCAGCCTGCAAGAAACTGTTGTAAGAAGATTTATAGAGTAAAAGCAGGAAGAAGCTGTTCACATGGAGGCATGTTAAAAACAGAAACACCTCTAAGTCCTTTTTGTTTTTCTGGAGCAGCAGGTGGATGAAAGAACCAGGAGGCACCGGCTCTGGGTGTCCTCCTCAGCCAAGTGTGTCAAAGAGACGGACACAGCAGAGAACGAGGACACGAGTCTCACAGAAAGGTAGCTCACCTCTGGCTCTGACTTGTCTGTTGTTGATGAAACACGTCTCATCACGGTTCTGTTTCTGGACGTCAGTGGTTACACTGTGTTGGAGCAGAACTGCGGCCCAGCGGGCCGAAGGATCCGGACTGACAGCCAGGACAGCCGCAGCCCGGACAGCGCATGCTCCATGGACTACGACAGCACAGAATCCAGCCAGGACCGAGTCCTGCATGGTGAGGTCCCACTTTGATGACATGCCAAATACAGGACTGATCATTGTGCTGATACAGCATTTACATTGTTGTTTTTCTGTTTTATATTTATTTTCTCCTAATCTAACTTCACCATACTTTGGACTATTTTAGTCATTCTTACATTTTTCAGCAAATAAATACTAAAGTCTTTGGTTTTTGTAAATTAAATATTTATTTTTCAAAAATTTTACCAATATTTTACCAACCTATTTCTACCTTTAGTTATTAACTGGATTGTCCTACTTTTAACTTTGAGCTAGCCTTCAGCTAATTTGATACATGGCTTTTTGATATTTTAGCTTTTAGGCAATCTTTTGCTTAATGTAGCAAATTTTTTGCTGGTTTAGCATTTAGCTAGCCTACTGCTACCTTTATCTTATGCCAGACCTTTCTTTAAGCTTAAAGATAGTTTTTTATTCTTTTATGCAGCCTTTTGCTATCTTTTCTTATTTTTCCAGACATTTCCTACTTTTAGCTTATTGTTGGTGTTTTATTTTTTTTATGCAGTCATGCTATGTTAGCATTTGGCTACTCTTTTGCTGCTTTAGTGTTAAGCTACCCTATTGCTACCTTTAGCGTTTTGCCAAACTTTTCTTACTTTTAGCTTATAGTTAGCTTTTTTATACGTTTATGCAGCCTTTTGCTGGTTTTATTAGAACACTTTTGTTATTTTTAGCTTGCCTTTTGTTTTTGTTTTTAGTTTCTGTAAATGATTTTGCTACATTTAGCTTTTAACTAGTATGTTTGCTAACTGGACATCTTTCAGCTCTCTCCAGGTTCTCACATTTAGTTTTCTGTTTAAATAATTAATTTAAATGTAACCGTGTTGAGTTAAAAAGCTCCAGATGCTGCTGAGTGAAGTCTCCAGACGTGTTTTGCTTCAGATTCTCTGAATTTGTTTTGCTTTCTGCAGATGCTGGTTCGTTGGTCGGCTCTGATGATGAGAGTGAGGAAGAGGAGCAGGAGCCAGAGAGGAAGCCGGCCGAGGTGACGAGTATAGACGAGGCTCTGAGGACGGTGAATGACGGTCCTGAACGTGAGCAGGAAGACTTCCTCCGGCAGAACTTTGAAACCCTGGTGGAGAGCAGCAGCACAGGTAGGACCGCAGGAAACCCTCTGACACGTTCTGAAGGTCTGTCTCCAGTCCAGACTAACTTTGAAGAACATCTCAGTGTTTCTGTAAACGACCTCACATCTGAAAACAGATTATTGATTCAGCCTCAGTTTCTGCTTCTGAGTTCCTCTTTGCTTCTCTCTGCAGCTGAGCAGAGCAGAGTCCTGAGGCTCAGTATGTCCTCACGCTTCCTGGCCAAAGGACACAACAACAGGTAACAGATCCTTCTGAGCCCCTCGGCTCATTCAGGAGATGACTGCTGGGACCTTTTGTATTTGTAACTTTTATGCATCTCGAAATATTTCATTTTATTCACAAAGAATTCTTCTGGGCTGCAGGAGCTCGGCGGTTATTGCCCCTGGCTCGTTATCCTGAGGCTGCAGGAAGAGCAGCCGGTGTAAATATACCTCACTCGCTGTGGTGACTCTTAAAGAAGCCAGCAGCTAAATAAAATAATTCCTTAAAGAAAAACATTGACATGTATTTGATTATTTTAAGTACATTGCTTTTTTTGCTCTATTTTTGCCCTCTAATGCTCCTTTTAGCTTATTTTTAGCTTTTAGCTACTGTTCTGGTAGTTTTAGCTTTGAGCTAGACTTCTACTATATTTAACTATACTTTTGCTTCTAAGCCTTCAGCTAATCCTCTTTTAGCTTTTAGCTAACTGAAGGCAATTAGAACATCAAAGCTCTGAACACGCCCACAACAAAGTTTTAACCAATCACAAAACAGCTGATGCATAACCCTGCAAGAAACGTTTCTGTGTGGACAGGATGGGTTCTGTACGGCGCCCGCGAGGGGACATGGGAGATTTAATTCSTTTTGTGTTCCCACGCAATAGTATTGCGTTACCTCGTAATACTTTTGCGTTACCTCTCAATACCTTTTGCGTTCCCTCGCAAAAGTAGTTTATCACTGTTGTGCCTGCCGGTTTATTAACAAACTCACATGTTCACCATTAGCGAGTCAGCCTACTGCTTTATTTCAGCTTCAGAATGAATATATCACACAGCCACACATGGAAGTATGTCATATGTCGATATTTAAACACAGTGCAGCCAGCCGAGCCACGCAACATCAATGCCAATTTTACGAACTTGTGGCGACACATCCTGTTTTGGCAACTGGCTATTTCAAAATAAAAGTCTGATTTAATTCAGTTCGTATACAAAACAATCTTTTGCGTGGGAACGCAAAACAATTCTGCGAGGTAACGCAGAAGTATTGCGAGGTAACACAATACTATTGCTTGGGAACACAAAAGAAAAAAAAATCTCCCATGTCCCCTCGTGGGCTCTGCTGTTCTGGAATTTCACTGAGAACCAAATAATTAGTTTTCATCATGTTCTGGAAAATGCGTGACATTTGGACTGCAATGATCATTATTACATCCTTATTTTTATTAAACACATGTTGTGAATAACTGTTTGTTCAGAATCAGATGCTTTTTGCCCTGATAGTTATTTCCATAAATGCTGCAGGCACTATACCTCATTTAAATGTGGTTAAACTGCACCAAGTTAGAGTTTGCTATGCTCGTTTTGTTAAAACAAAAACCTGTAATTGCATCTGCAAAGGCCGTGCAGATCTGTAGTGGGTCYGGGCCTCAGCGATCCTCTCATGCAGCTAAATTTAAACATATTATAAACATATACGAGCTGTGCAAAAGATCAGCACCTGTGAAGCTCATTAACTAGTCTACTTTATCTCATGTACACAGTAAAAGCTAGTTAGGCTGTTTATTTTCTAAACCCGAGAGCGACTTAGTGAGGATAAATCTCCCAAATGTGCAAAGTTTGGTTCATTTTCCACACCAGGGGAAATAACTGCTTTTGTCTTTGCTGAATCACTCGCCTCTGCTCAGAGCTGGGCCTCCGTTCTCCAAAGTGACCGCAAAGGAACAAGACGGCAGATCGACTAATCCTCCGGTGTCAAAAGTACGTCCGCTGACAGGAAACAGCGAGAGCAGAAAGGCCGAGGACAGACTCTCCGTGTCTCCTGTCAAATCTGAGAGGTAAAAAAACACAGAGTTTATAGAGAAGTGCTGCAAATGTTTAAAAAAGGGCCTCCAAAACTGTTATGAAATAATAAAGAGATGATAGAATATTAATAAGCTTACATGGAAATTATGCAGTTTCACAAAAAAAAAAGAGTTTGGCCTTTTCTGTTTACCTTGGCTGCATTTTTGCAAACAGCTTGTAGTTTTAATCATTAATGCAGAGAAAGAACAATAGCAGAAAAAAGTCATTCTMGGCCCAACCAACACTACTTCTGGTGTTTTTAAAACTGAAAACTTTCTGCCATTCTTGTGGGAAAGCAATGGATTTTGACCCTGTTCAGACGGGTTAACCCTGACCCTCTATCACTTTTTGCCACTTTTGTTTGCTGAAATTGTTAATAAATTTTAAGAGGAATCATAAAAATGTAGAAGATCTGAGTGAGGGAGAAAGAGAGGTGATATTTTCTCCTCAGCTTCTTACACTTACTTTACACCCCTTAAAGATTTAGGGCACCAGATCAAATTTACTGACCAAAAATGATTTTATTCACCTCTTTAATAGCCTAGCTAGCCGCTACAGGAAGTTAGACACGAGTCATTGCTTTAAAAGGAAAGCAGTGACCTCTTGTTTATAACCTGTTCGTTGAGTTTTTATCATGAGCTGATAAATATTGTTGTCTTCTCAGTATTAGTGTTGCTTTATGGGGCGACTAATTGCCAGCCTGATAAAAGTTCCTCCTGCTATGAGTGATGATAGTGTTAGGTGCCATGTATCGGTTTGTTGGAACAAATAAATGTAAAGATGTTTTGACAATAAACCTACGGTAAACACTGTAAAACATGCCGACCTCTTGATATTGAGCTGCTGCCTCTCGGCAGGACTCCAGAGAAGGATTCTCCCTTCAAACACCGACCTGTGAAGAAGAAGAGTTCAGGGTCCGCCCTCTGGAGGATGTCAAACCCGCCAACTCAAGCTCCACCGATGCTGGACCAAGCTGCTTGTCTACAGAAGTCTCGCTCCGCTCAGAACCTGACTACAGACTGTGAGTTTCATCTTGATTCATTGATGTTTGTTCCGATTTCTTTTTTTTTTTTAGCTCTGATTTTAATGTGAGCTCTCAAATTGTCTTCTAAATTTAGTGTGTTTGTTTAAGCCTTTCTATTTGTGCATAAATGATGCTGGTACTTTTTAAAAACCCTTGTCCTCGTTTTATTTTATAGCTTCTCGCTCCTCTGCGCCCTCTAGTGTCCAAAAGGAGTTGTGCGTGAGACCTCAGCAGCTGACCCTGACTAACATCACTCCCAGGTCGACCTTTACCTTGTCTCTGCCCTCCTCTGGGTCTCCACACTCTCCGTGGGAGAGCCCCAAACTGAAGCCCCAGCTCTCCTACATGAACCCCACAGCCAGCTCCATGGCCAAAACCAACCGCTCCTCCTCCTCCTCCTCCTCCTCGCTGGGCGACGATCTCCAGTCTGGATCTCCGCCTCGCTCCCCACGGAGCAGGAGGTCATCAGAGGAGGCGCTCTCCTCGACTCTCGCCAGGCTCCCGTCGTCTTCCTCCTCCTCCGCTGCCCCTCCCCGCACCGTGACGGCGTCCCCGTCCCATCCGACCCAGAACGGCCCGCCGTCTCGCATCCCGCTCCCGAGGCATCCTCTGGGCGCCCGGCGCAGCCTGAACCTGGACGTGAGGCCGAGCCCGAGCCCTCTGAAGGCCTCTGCCTCCGCGGTGGACGTGGGCCGAGTCGTTTCACCTCCGGATGTAAAAGCAGAAGGTCGGACAGCCGAGGATGTACGTCGCGTTAAATCACAGCCGAGCTTCGTTTCTAAAGCCACGTTTGCTTGTTTTGTTGTTTTCAGCACGGTGCAGACACCTCTACCTGCCTTTTGATCCTGCCGGGCCAGGCTCTCTGTCTGTGAAGCAGAAACAGAACTCCGGTTCTGAAAGGTGCCGGGTTTTTTTTGTTTGTTTGTTTTTTTCGACAGAAACAAGCAGCTGTGAATAAGCAGAAAAGAGCAGCTCTATATTAAACTGACTTTTATTTTCTTTTTATTTCCCAGTGCCAAAGAAGGCGGTCAGTTGCTGAAAGAGCGCCCCCTGGTGCCTGAAGAGAACCAAACACTGACTCCACACTCAGGTTTGACCTCCCAGAACCTTTTTTTAAGCCCCTTCATGTCTGTTTACCATGGAAGGCAGTCGATCCCATAAACCGACTGTTTGTCTGTTAGCAAAATATCTCACAAACTAGCACATAAAATCAAATGAAACTTTCAGACAGTGACGTTCAGATCTGCTTCTACAAGTGATTAACTTTTGGAGTCGACCTGATTCAAGATGGCTACAGCTAACGCATCTTAGCTAGCAAGCTTATGGCTGTAACTCAGTCCGTTTTACACATGTGAAATTTGATGTGGTAGTAGCTGAGAGTTGTACCCATTACACTGTCATTGAAAATAAAAGACCTTAATATTTATTATGTTGTAAAAATACTGAATAACTAAAGATTTAAAATGCTGAACTAATAATTTCTCTCCCTGCTGTTTCATTGACGATAAGCACTTCTGAACAACACGTTTAGCTGTATTAAGTTTTGAATTGAACGCGCTGAAGCTGTAAAAGCCACTTAATGACACGAACTCTGTGTTTGTAGCACAAACTGTGTCCTGCTGGAAGATGAAAGCTGTGAAATGATTTTTGTCTCCGTCTCATTTTGCTCTTTTCTCTCAGCTCGTGCACTTCCTGCTCTCTGTTCAGCAGTTTTCACTGTGTCGCCATCTTGCTCACACACACTGTGTGTTTGTGCGGAAGAGCTGTAATATAATTGTGTGTGTGTGCGCGCGTGTGTGTGCGTGCCCACAAGCTAGGGTCGTACTTGAAAGTCCTTCTCTCCATCTCTCGCTGCAGATTTCTCAGTCACCTTGGAAACCTGCAGACAGGCCATTACTGATCTTCATAAGAGTCTGAGGAGAACCATCCTTCTGTTTACTACGGTTAGTGTGTGTGTGTGTGTGTGCGCGTGTGTGTTTAGATCTCTATCAGTTTCAGACAGATTGACCCATGTATCTTTACATTTATTTGCTTTTATGTATATATATTGAGTCATAATCTGACCCCTTTTAAAGCCTGATGAAACCACAGCTGTGTTAAACAGTTGAACAGCTTTTAAAACAAAATTCTGCTACGTTTTTATTATTTTAAGTGCATATTTTCGTCACGGTCTTATTTGCGAACAATTTTTACAATATTTGGATCTTTCAAAGTTTGGTAACGCTTTCTTTTACGGTACCCTTATTACTATGTAATTACAAGGTAATTAAAATGTAGTTAAATAGTAATTACTACCTAATTACATGTAATTACTTGGTAAGTATGGTACAATTCTACTATGTAATTAATTGTCTGCAGTAATGTAGCACTTACCTGGTAATGTATTAACAATTCACTATGTAACACCTACAGCAGAGGAGCCCAAAGTGGGGCCTGTGGGCCAAATTTGGCCCGCCAAGCCATTTGATTTGGCCCACCAACAGTTGCCAAAGTTACAAGGTTGTATGTAACCAGTTATCCTATAGGTAGAAACAGAGTATTTCCATTGGTCAAATGACTGTATAAAAGGGCTGTAGTGAAGGTAGTTTTCAGTCATGTAATGACATATCTTTGATTTATTAGGATCAAACATGAAACATGAAACGACAACTAGAAATATTTAGATCAGATTTAACCCCACATGTAGATTTGCACACTTTATAAGGCCACAACAACTCATATTTTATCAATTTATGAAATGTCCCATGAGCCTTTGCTACTTGAGCGTATGGCAGACTTTCTCCAAGTGCACAGAATAAAACAAAAGAGGGCCATTGCACTGCTTAATCGTTAAAAATAAAGGACTTTACTTTAAAAAGTATTTGTATTTCATGTATTATATAACTGCATTTGGCRCGCAGCCATGGATAGATTTTCATTTTGGCCCCCTRGGGGAAAATGTTTGGCACCCCTGACCTACAGTGTTGTATAAAGTACCTCAAAGTGATACTTGAGGAAAAGTACAAGTATTTTATCATAAAAATACTTTGGTAAAAGTTAAAGTCTTCTCTAAAAATATTACTTGAGTAAAAGTCTTAAAGTATCAGATATGTTTTGTACTTATCAAAAGTAAATTTCTGACACAAAATCTACTTAAGTATTAAAAGTAAAAGTACTGACTAGATTTTCCAAAATGACATTTACTGGGAGGTGACTTCTCAAAAAAATATTTTTTCTAACGGCGTGCAGCTGTGATGGGTTGTGTACAAGCTAATAGGGTGTCAGAATTGTAAATATTTATACTTCTCATCCAACCACAATTTAAATTCACTCTATCCAGGAGGCACCATTTATCAGGATAGTATTTCTTAAGTAATAACAACGCAGAATAAAATAAGAGTAATGACTTTTTACTTATTACCTTTTTGAAAAATGTAATGAGTAGAAAGTACAGATAATTGTGTAAAAATGTAATGAGTAGAAAGTACAGATAATTGTGTAAAAATGTAATGAGTAAAAGTAAAAAGTACGCTGAAAAATAATTACTCAAGTAAAGTACAGATAACCAAAATGTCTACTTAAGTACAGTAACAAAGTATTTGTACTTAGTTACATTACAGCTCTGAACACCTAAATAAGTAGTAGGTAATTTGGACAGTTTTAAAGTTATATTTTATTGCAATTAACCACTAACCCCAAAATGTAGTAGCATTCTTTTGGTTATAAATATAGTTTTGAGTTACTATTGAATAGTAATTTGATTGTAGTTACCCAATAAAAGTAGTTTTACTAACAGTAGTTTTTTCTTTTGTACCGAAATTACTTACATTTTTAATATTACCTTGTAATTACATGGTAATAAGGGTACCATAAAAGAAAGCGTTACCCAAAGTTTGTGCAGAGGCAGCTGCACGCCAGAAAAGTTACGGCCGTTCTGTGGTCTGATAATCTTTCTGAATTCACATTTTTATCGAACAGGAGGTTTAGTGAGGCTCACTGGGAAAAGTGCAAAAAGTTTTTTTTTTTAGAGAATTGCTTCTCAGCAGCTTCACCTTGGCCTCTTCTGCAAAAAAGCCAGCTGACATTTCTCTTTTTTTTCCCCTTAATATTTTTTACTTTAACAAAACAACCTTAAAAAAAGATTTATTTTCTCATTTTTCTTTGACATTAACTGTGTTCATTTACCAAAAGGTAGGTTTCTGGTGAAACTAACAAAATAAATCATAATTAGAGCTTTAGAATCATCATTTCTTTGTTTTATTTTGGATATTATCTTTTGTTCTTTTTTTTAGATTTTATTGCTCATCTCTGTCTGCAGCATATTAATATATTTAACTGTCCTCCAATAATCATAGATTATTATCAAAGAGTGTCAGCTAACGTCTGTCCGGTCTGCTAACAGTTGCTGAAGAGCGAGCCGGCAGCCTGTGAGGATCAGCAGGAGATGAGGAACGTCCTGTTCGAGGCTCTGGTCCTGGTGAAAACCGAACTGCACTCTCTGCCCCTCTGCTCCTCCCGGCGCGAAGGTTCCCAAGACTTAAAGTTAGGAGGGGACAAGACCCTGGCTCTGCTGGAGCAGTACGCCGAGCTGCTGCTGAAGTCTGTGGAGAAGAGACGGGACACCGAGTCCTGAAGAGACCGAGCCGTGCTGGATCAGCAGCGCTGTGACGGGTTTGCACAAACAGCTTCGTGTAGAAACTGAAATGTGACGAGGCGCCGTCACGTTGGGAAAACAAGATGCTGAGTTTTATTCTTGCAATATTTTTGTTGCCCTTTTTCATGTGGACGTAAATTTTTGTTTTATATATATATATATATATATATATAACAATCAGTTTCCATTCACTTTTCACACACAAAAAAAACACGAGAAAAATGATTAAGTTGAAAACTTTATGAAATATTCGTTAAATATGTTCTGCTTTTCAAATCGTGCTTTATTTTAATTCTTAATCTGATAAAGAAAATGTTGATATAGAGGATTTAAATGRGTCCTATGTTTTATATTTGCTGATAAAACCTCTTAAAGAAGGATATTAGGTTTAACATGAACAGTTAATATCTTACCTGTTGTTGATAACTCTTTGAATGACCTCAGTTTGGTGAAAGAATTCTGAGTGTGTCCCACTGGGTAGACCCAGAACTCGTGCATCGTCTTCGGTCTGGGAACACCTCAGGGTCTCCCAGGAGGAGCTGGAGAGTGTTTCTGGGTACGGGGATGTCTGGGTTTCTCTCCTGGATCTGTTGCCTCCTCAACCCAACAACCAAAAATTGTTAAAGATGCCATGATTTGTGCCAAACATCTGTTTCTTAATGCAGAAAAGCTCCAACTTCTGTGCTTTTTAAAAATGTTTTTAACACCTAGAAATTAACAGTTTGTCTGAATTCTTTACACATTTTTAGCGATTTTCTATTTCTCTAATGGAGATTTATCTGTATAGTTAAAAAAAATAAACAGAATGCCAAACTCAAATTTTCATTTGTGATTTTATTGAACAGTTCAGAGATGTTAAATTATTTATTATTAACATGTTTATTTATCAGTAACACAACTGTTAGTAGCAGTCTGATAATATAGAGAATATCACAACAAAAACACTCGACTTTAACCAGACAAATAAATACGTGTGTGCATTAAACTTTAGTTTGTGCTTATTTTAACTTCAGCTGCAGTCTTTGATTAAACAGCTTTCACATTTACTTATACAGCACTAAAGCTTCATTAAATATAGACTGGAGGATTTTAGTTCCTGCACGATGTTGTATTTAAAATGTGAGCCTATAGGTGAATTTTCATGCATTTCTGCTGACTTTCCAGCACGCTGCAGCAGAATTAGATTCAGAAACGGTTCAGTCCTCAGGGAAGCGTCTCCACGTTGATGTACGTGAGGATGACGTCGTTTAAAATGTTGATTCGGTCGATTTGGTTGAGCTCTCTGATCCGGTGCCGGAACTCAAACAGCGGGATGTTGTTGACCGCCACCCTGAAGGCCTCGGGGGTGCAGAGGATCTTCATCTGAAAGAACAAAAACCATCAAAACAGAAAGTTGAGATAATGTTATCCCAAGAGGACTAATGAAATGAGATCAGTTTTATGCAGAACTGCTTCTAGAAATCCTACAGCTAGCTGCTATTGCAGCCACTTTTGCTTGCAAATGGTCAAATATTAAGTAAACAATTGTTTAATTCAAAATAATAAAGTAATGGTGTATAAAAATGTTTGGATTTAAGAGCAGTTTTAAGAAGCAATCCACTTTTGTCTTAGTTCCTCTTGGACTAGCCATTAGCTTGTCAATCCGATCAGAATTAAACCCTATCTCCATTCTGAGGTCATACAAAMACTCATCTACAACAGGTAAGACACTTCCTCAAAACCTCACTGCAAAGATTGTGAATTTTTGCTTTTTCTGTGATGATGCCCTGAGTTTGATGCCTCCTGGTGGCTGAACATAAATTGTTAATGATGTTACAGAGCAAAATGAGACCCCCACTGACCTCCACAAGCCTTCCTGCAGTATAGCAGCGGTCTTATCTAGGCTCCGCCTGCACAAACATGTTTCCAACCCACTGCACCTTTTCCAAACGTTAGCCTGATGTTAACCATGAGAAAGTGACCTGGGGTCAGTCATTTACACCCTGCAGAGCATCATTGACACAKATTTTGAATAACTTGGACGCTAACACACACATACTCCTCAAACTTAATCATCACTTTATTGGGCAGTATTTGTATTTATATTTAAAGCCCACCTGTTTCGTGCTGTAAAACAAAGCTGATTTTAGCATCAAAGCTAGCTGTRCCTGTCTAATTCCTGTTTATTCACCTCAAAGGGGCTCCCAGAAGCAAAAGGGAAGGGTTGCTTCAGGTCCCTCTCTTCTGGACCCCAGCGCTCTCCCACTTTGTGGTTACGGACCACCACTTGCTTGCCCCCTTCGCTGAAGCGTGGGTTGATGTGAAAGGCAATATCGTTGCCTCTCAGAAAGTTTATTGTGAACCTGAAGGAAACCAAACAATTAAACACAACATAATGCATAAGAGGATAAAACAATAGGAGTTTAGGAAAACGATGGGCAACGTCAGTGATGGAGGGGATACGATTTATTGTTGACACTACCAGAGAGCCACACTTACTCAAATATAATAAAACTGCTATTTTAAAAATGTTCATGTATTTATATAGTGTGTACATGTATGAAAATCCTTGATGGCAAACAGCATCTCTGAGCAGACTAAGGTTTGCCTTGAAATTCTGTATACAGACAGTCCACCTCCCATTTCCCCGATTTATCTGTCCAATTTTCTTTCCTCTGTTCTTAGACATGACCAGGGTTGCCAGATTGGGCTGACAGTTTCCATCCCAAACACAACATAAAGCACACTTGCATAAAGAAAATTAAAAAAGCCCAAWTCTCAACCTCCTTTGCAGCTTYTTTTAAATGCATCGAAAAAAAAWATATATATATATATGAGATCTTTTCTCGTATTTATGAGATAAGGTCTCCTAATTATGAGATCCTATTTTTTTTTATTTGGTGAAAGCAATGCTTTTCCGTAGAGAACCACTTCTCATTTAAAAACATGACCTGGCCAAGAGGCTGCATGAATGAATGAAACATACAATACAACATAGAGCATACCACAAACATAAAAAAAATTCTAGGTTAGTTGCAGGCATGTGAATAATGAAAATCAACTAATAGCCCTTGGATTGTTTGGCAGAAGGAAGGTAGGTCCTCAAGACCTCAGAGTCCCAGTTGCTTCGCTATTTCGGATGTTTACAACTGACGTTGACCAATACCATTTCATAGTGACGCTTGATATTTTGGTACAGTTTTCCTGTGAATACTTCAAAAAACCTGCCAAACTTGGTAAAAAGCAGTCCAAATGTCAAGACCATCGTGTTCAGTTGGGTAGAAACTCACCCAACCTGGCAACACTCATGTCTAAGTGCCTCACAATAGAGAAGAAGTGAGCAAGGTGGCATCTGAAGCTCGATCTGAGATACTTTTAGACATTTTGTAAAAAAACAAACCGTAAAACGTGGGGAGGTGGGGGACGGGAGTCACCTGCAGGCCAGATGTGGCCCACAGACCAGTAGTTGCCCATGCCTTTAGCAGGTGTATAAATTGGCTCACATTTTTGCGTTGGGTTTAACGTAGCCCAGGATGGTCATCATCATCTTGTCGTACACCCCTCGAGCCAAGTTTAGGTTGTACGGCACGCTCTAAAGGAGCAAGAGAAGAAGAAAAGTCAGGTGGCAGCTGGGAAACAACATGATGGTGGGAAGGCAGGTTAGATTATTTTGTATCTGACCCACCAGAGGTCCAGATGTGGGCGGGAGCCAATGAGGAGGTATGATGGACGGGTTCTGTCCAGGCCATCCTGACTGACCCGGGTTATAAGCCCAGCCGGGGTGAGCGGGCCAACCGGGGACACTTGGATGGATACTGGCCGCAGGTGCAACCGCAGGAACTGGAGCTGGGACTTGGATTGGAGCTGGTGGTGGCTGGACAGGCTGGTACTGAGGGCCCGGCCAGCATGGCTGACAGGACGGCTGCAGTGCAGGAGCTGGAGCTGGGACCAGGGTCGCGGTTGGTGCTGGAGGAGGAACTATAACCTGAGCTGGGGCTGTAACCGGAGCAGGAGCAGTAACCTGAGCTGGTGGCGTGGCAGGCCAGCAGGAGGTGTTGGGTTGGCCCGTCCAGCAGGGTACAGCAGGCTGAGGGGACTGTCCTGGCCAGGCAGGGAACCCGGACCCGGACGGTGGCAGGGTGGGCCAGAGGCTGGCGGTCTGTGGAGCGGAACCAGAGGGCGGGCAGCTGCCACACAGAGCGTCAGCATGCTGAGGAGGAGGAGAGGGGGAGGATGGAGGGAGAGGAGGGTCAGGAGCCAGGATGGAGATACGTGGAAGAGAAAGAGTGGACAGAACAGAAGACAACTTGCAGGTCTGAACAAAAGCAAACAGTTTTACATTGATACTTAAATTTTGATTATAAAAAAAAGGAAAAAGTGAAGTCATTTCTGTCATTCTTACCATAGTGGGGATCTGAGAATTAGATGTGGCGCTCACATCCATGCTGCCTACAGAACAAAATTAAACTCACTCATTTTTTATTAAACATTTTAGTCAAAGTTACTGGAACTAAATAAAACTAYCATCTTTTTTAAAAACAGAAAATAACTAACATCTATATCTAGTGTGCAAATCTGAATCTTTGTTTTCTTTCTTTCAATTTCTTACAACCGTTCCTCAGAATTATCTGGCGTCTGCTAAGACAATAGAAAGTATTTAAATGTTTCATTGTTCCCAACATGCTGCTTTTAACACCTCACCACCCGACTGTGTCACTGTCCTGCACGTTTTCCTTGTTTCTCTGCTCTAACACACCAGATTTGAATGAACGAGTGATTAACAGGCTTCTGCAGAACGTGAAGAGGTGATTTAATCACTGAATCAGGTGTGTTGGAGTGGGGAACCCAGGAAACCATGCAGGATGTTGGCAGTTTGACACCTGTGACATAAAGGGACCAAACCAGTTCTTTACTCTGAGCTGGTTCTCGTGAGTATGGGATTACTTTCATATATGGATTTTCTCCTAAATAAGACTTTATTACAATATTACTGTTTCTATTCAACTGAAAGTTCTGCATTTTAGCTTATGTTGGTTTTGTTATCAAAATCTGGCAACAATTATCTGTTTTTTTTTTCAAACTGTATATTAAACAGTTTTTACTTGGGATGTTCCTATACCGGTATTGGTATTTATTTATTTTTATTCATTCATTTTAATTTCATTCATAAAACAACAAAAAATAAATTAAAAAACAAAGTATTACTTTACTTTAAATCAGGGTATCAGGGCTCGCACAAAATGCCCTACTCTGAAATGATACCAACACTCCTTGTGTCTAACGATACTCAGTATTGGCAAGTACCCAAACTGAAGTACTTGTACTCAGTTTGAGAATAACTGAGACACCCATAGTTATAAACCAACATTAAAGTGATGACACTCTGGCAACCACAGCTATATTTGAAGCTTTAAATTATCAGGTTAAACAGCTGATTTATGTTTATTTTTTACRGAAACACAGATTTTATTTCTTTAAAATATTGTTTAACAGAAACAGTTTTACAGTGTAAATACACATTTTAACAGTAATATGTAGTAAACAAAGAACAGTTCTCAGCTGTGGTTTCTCTCCTGGAACTGTTGTGTTTTTATGGTTACATTCAGGCAACCACAGCTGGCAGTAATGTTCTGTAATTAGAGCGCAACAGATGTTAAAAAGAAACATTACCTGGTTTTATTTTGGTCTTCAGTCCTCAGATGCAGCAGGAGCAGGTTCAGCTGTGGTTTAGGTCTGAATGACTGCAGCCGAGCAGAAAGAAAAAACTTTTATAGTCCTAAACGGTCACACCACCAAGCTCCTCCTCACCTCACCAGCCCTCCGTCAGACTAATTACTCCACTCATGTCTTTCAAAAATATGTGTAAAAAGACTTTTTTGGGTGAATGTAATTTTCATCAGGGTAAAAACATTTAGAGTTTGTCATCTGGTTTTTCTGTTTTTTCATTTTTTGCTTTTATAAGTTAGGATTATCTAAATAATATTGAATTAGAGCCAAAAAAATCTAAAAAATGTAAAGTAAAATAACAGTGTTGTCACTTTATTGTCTGTATTTCTTGTTTAAGCTGTTAAACTGAAAAAAGAAAAGAAAAGAAACACAGTTGGGTCTTCTAGAAGAGGTTTTCTGATAGGTCCTGTCAGAACACAATGACTGTTTTTTTTTCTTGTTTATGCTGATGCTGTTCATTAATGTTAAGCAGTCATGAGACCGTGAAACACACGAAGAGTAACACAATTACTAAAGACGGGAATGCAAGGATTTCATTTTATTAAAAAAAATCAGTGACTTAAAGGTGAGAAATAACTTATTGCTCCACCTTTAAGATTCACTCATTTCTGACATCATTTCTCTTCTCTTGGGGAAAATGATGAATTCCCCCATGGTATTTTTATTTTCGAACAAAGGAAATTAACCACGTCAATCTCAATTTGATTATCCAATAAATCTCCATGGCCACAGCATCACAACAACAATGGTGGATTCACACAGTCACCGCGGTTCTCCTCGACACGATTAGATTACTGATCATCTGAGCTGAGAAATGTCAGGAATCGCTAAAAGGTTTTGAATCGACACGATTTTCTGCAAATTCAACCCCTTAACGGTTTTAATATGGACTCCAAAATGTTAAAAACACAGAGAGTGTTTAAAAAAAAACCCAATGTTTAATGTAAAAGGTTCAGTGTGAGTTCAACCTTATTCTGGGTGGTTAAACTTTAGAACCTGCTGAAGATAGTTTCCCCTGTTTGAGTTAAAATATTAATTCTTTTGTAAGAAAACATGTTAAATGCAGTCAAAGTGCACACAAGAGACACGCTCAGATTTAGACTTGAATATAACCATCAAGTCTCTATAACCATCACCGCTCCCAACAATCTCGATAAGCATCCATGTTTGTGTTTGCACATCGAACAACTCTACCTCACAATCATTGAATATTACGTAAATAATAACCTGTGGCAATTGTACATCTTTTTTCCCTTTACTAGTTTGACKTAATTTGCACTCCCCTGAGTTCGACTCAATTTAACAGATCTGTTTTTTTCTTGTAATTTTGTATTTTTTTTGCATGGTATCTGGCTTTTATTTTCATTTTTTAAATCTAATTTCAACTGATAGTCTAGTACAGTAATTATTATTCTTATTTTGATATTTTTCTATGTTTATTTTTTATTGTTATTATCTTTAATTCTATTATTACAGTTGATAATGTCAATGTCCAATATAATGTTTCTGTGGATTTGGAATGCATGTTTGTTGTATCTGCTGCTGCTATTACACCTGAATTTCCCTGCACGGGACAATAAAGGTTCATTCTATTCTATTCTATTCTATTCTATTCTATTCTATTCT